AGGGGAGGGGAGGGGAGGGGAGGGGAAGGGGAGGGGAAGGGGAAGGGAAGGGAAGGGAAGAAAAGGGCCAGCCAAATAACTCAGCAGATTCAAGCGCCGGCTTAGGCAGACCACAGAGGTTGGGGGCTAGGGTTCCATCCTGTGGTGCCCTGTGGGTTCTGCCCCTGGTACGCTGAGATGGCGACTGAGACTGGGCATGGTGGTGTGCCTGTAATCCCAGCTCTTGGGAGGCTGAACACAGGCGGATCACTACAAGTCCGATCTACGTAATGAGACCCTGTAGACCTGGTACTAAATACAAAACAATAACATAAATAATAATAACAATAACAATAATAATAATAATGTACTGGAACATGTCTAGTTATTCTCTCGCTGCTAGGACAAATACCCAATACCTAAAATGAAGAAAGGAAAGATTTATGTAGCTCAGTCAGTGGAGGTTTCAGTCCATACTCTGCTGGCTCCAAGGCAGAGTGGCACATGGCAGGGGGCAGCCATTCATGGCAGTGGCAAAGAGCAGTGAGCAAAAGGGAGTGGCAGCAGCTCAGGCAAGGAGGGAGCCTCTCTCCCCTCCTTACATTGTAATGCAAATTGCCTGCCCCAGGGCACTCCCACCCATAATCCCAGTTTTGGAGTAAGAATCAACCACAAACTCCATAAACTGCCCTATGACTGCATGAGGCTTTGGGGGAACAACTAGACACAACCATAACAGAACATAGTTACCAGTACTTCATTGCTAACTAATAATCCACTGTACAAAGAATCACAGTTTATCATTCATGAACTGATGAAATTCAGGTTGTTTTCATTTTGGATTATAAACAATATTGCTGTGAACATTCATGTACAAATTTTATGCAGATCCATGTTTTGATCTCTCTGTCTCCGTCTCTGTGTCTGTTTGAGACAGGGTTTCACTATGCAGTTCAGGCTGGCCTTGAACTCACTTTGTAGCCCACACTGGCCTCAAACTCGCAACAATCCTGCCTCAGCCTCCCAAGAGCGCGGATTACAGGTGTGTGCCACCACACTAAGATCCCATAAATGTTTTTAAAGGAAGTGTCATTAATTATATATAAAGTATTTATTCTATATGTGGCCCAAGACAATGCCTCTTCACTCAGTGGGACCAGGCAAGCCAAAAGCTTGGATATGCCTGTTCTAGATAACTGTGGGCTATGAAAGCTGAGTAAGAATGAAAATAAGGAAATTATAAGAGACTACGTCAAACAGGAAGAGAAACACCTGGCAAGAGATGGGGAATGGCTGGGGAGACAGCTCAGTGGCATAAGCGCCTGGTTCTTTTGTTAAATTTATATGTACAATTTATTTATTACTGTATGTTTGAAATACAAGATAGTATTATCTATTTTGGGGAACTGCTACATGCCAATAGTGTATATTTGTTTTCAATCCCTTTGCCCCCTTCTCCCTTATATAATTTATAT